TTATTTTACTCATTTGATAAAAATAGTACATTACTCCAGCACATTAAAAACAAATAAATTTATTAACTTATATAAAGAGAATTACATAAATGGTCTTGATTACTAAATTGAACTTTATACTTATGTAACTAATTACGTTATGACGGAAATGAGATGTAAAGTGAACAGGTAGCTTTTACCAAACATAGGTAGGTGATTGTAATAATTCTTGGTTAATTTTTAAATGCTGTCATTAGGCTGATTCCGTACAAACTAACGTTAAAATGTATGTTTAGACAACATGTATCAACATTTCAATAGCTAAGAAAATTAATAAAAGTAAAGCATTATTCATACAATCATTTAACTGACTGCAGTACGGCAAAATGATATATGTATTGGCATTATGCAATACAAATAATTTTCTTACCGTTTTTTGCAGTAACTTGTTTGAATATTAACTGCATACAGTAAAAATCTATCTAGTACTGATAATTTTAAATATTACCCTTAAGTGTTAGCTCTTGTATAACAAACAACCTTTAATCAGGAAAATGCAAACCATTGGTTATAAGACACAATGTAAATATAAGCAGTGGATCTTTCGTTTGGATAAAAATAATTACCAGTCCTTTTATTGTGTGTACTGTAACTATATTAAAATGTTTAGTGAAATTATTAAGAGAAAACTTGACAAAATAGCGCAGAATTGGATTACTTGCAAAATAGGAAAAATTAATCACACTGTTAAAATTGATTTTGCTTTTTTCCGCCATCAAACTTTCTATGTTTTTGAAAGTTGTATTCTCTTAGACTTGGTGTCCCATTTGTGCCGTCAGCTGTCTAATAAACTGCAGTTCCATCGTAATACAACAGAGTTTAGCGTATTTTTCTCATTGCCGAACATGAGAGCAGAAATGCTGAGATTCCTTAGAAAGCAGCGGTTACGTTAATAAGCCTGAATAAAACCTACGCAAAACAGACTCAAAGCAGCACAGCGTTCTTGTCACTTTAATGTTATAAGTAAAGTATGGTATTTCACAGTAACTTTGTACTTTTCTAGTGACATTATGTTGAAATGGTGACCATACAAATGTAGGAATTTAGAGATGAGTGTAGGATTAATTTATAGTTTGAATCAAGAACTATAATAAGCATAACTACACCCCAATAGTGATAAACATTTACACTATTGTTTTTGGTGTTAAATGTATGGTAGAGATCACATGTCTGTGAATTTATAACAAAGTAAGCATACACAGTAATTATGCCGTTGGTCATGACAAACATAAGTACGAACCGGAAACACTAAACTGGAAGGTACATCCGACATACAATTATTACGTAGCCACATGTATCGTGGATGTAGTTTGGTCATTACGTTGGAGTGTCAGGTAATTTAGTTGGTGATTATGTGTTGATTAGCAGTTTTAATAATAAGAGTATAAGTTGAATATCAGTAGTTTTTGTGTCATAAAAGAGGCTTTTTTATCTATTCAAAGTATGTTGAACCTCGGTAACAGTAAAAGGAGCTTAGGACTTCAAATGTATCTATTTTATGTCAATCTAAAAGACATCTCCATTAAAACTATTACTTAACATTAAGTATTTTTCAACACAGTGTCAACTTAAAAAAGTCGTAAACAATAGGTATCGCATTACATTCATAGCTAGCAGCAATATGGAACATTTGAGTACAGATTGCTATAAGAAAACATGTTTACAATAGTCTTCTCAACCATAATGGTAGACGGGTTAAAAGACCACCTATTAAAACCTAGAATAAACTATTAATTGTAGCTTAGAACAGGTACATAAATAAATAGAATTTGGTATTTAATTTTTGGGTTCTTGGCTGCTAGAAACATACTTTTACCAGACTCAGGATGGATATAGGGTTATTGAAAATGCCTGATAGCTGGAATTTAATCAATAAAAAACATGTCTCCAAAGGTTAGCTACTGAAGGCAATGATGACGTTTTTGTGAGCGCGGGAGACTACGTTTTTGTGACTGTAAAAGACGATGTTTTTATGATGACTATACTATCTCACATATTATTATGCGCATACGAATTTCTAGATAAATCTACAAGATTTAGCTATCATCGTTGTACTACAGTAATATGTTATTGGTGATCGGTAATTTAAATGTAGGTTTTTTAATTAACTACCGATACATATATAAATATTTGACAGAAAACATGTTAAAATACAGAGCAAGAAAGTGATGTAATTTAAGGACTGTACAATAGTATCTACAGGAAATGAGATAGCAGTATCTTATGACCGTCAAACACACTCAAACTATTTCACCGTCTACACTGACAAAACATTCTATGAACTACATACAGCCTGGAAAGAACTACTGTATTGTGGGGCGTTCAGATTAGTGAATGTCTGTATTATGGGGATTGACATAGCCCTTGGGTTGAGCTTTTTATTTAAATGAAGGATCTTAGTACTGGAATTACATTGAATTGTTTAAATTGTCTTTTTAAATAGTGTAATCTCTGTGACTATACTCATTAAGAAGCATGCATTCATTTTGGATGCAAACTAATTGAGCTCTCTCTCTTCCTAGAATATTCAATTATCTTCATTTTTATGTACAAATAGCTGTGTATGGATGGAATCATGTTGATTTTCTCATAATCGGAACAATCTTTTACATTTTATTGTGCATTTTTCCGAATATGTAGGCTAAACTCTGTGTTCCGGTTAAGCTCAAGTACAATTTGATAAACACAGAATCTCCAATTGGCAACCCACATAATGCATAAAAATTTCATTTATGGTTACCCGTTATCGCCCTTGTGATTAATTAAACATAAGAATTAATTAAACGTAAGAAAAAACGTTTTTTAATCTCTTTTGGGTGTATTTACAAAACATGTTTGGTAACGGTTATGTGTAAACAACATTTAATGTAAAAATATAAGTGACAAAAAATAAATCAATCCACACAGATGTTTATTACTTCATAGATCTCCAAACAGATGAGTATTTCATAAATGGGAAATGTTAAGAGAAACTTGAAAAATAGCGCAGAATTGGATTATTTGCAAAGTTGTGGTATCATATTACAATGGATAGAAATTAAGATACCTAACACAAATTGGTTGGTCAATATATCGTAAAAATAACCAAAAATTATATAATTTTGAGCAATGTATAGACAAAACTCTAATTTTTAATACATAATCACATAGGATAAAATTATATGTTGTAGCGATTTTAAACTATTTCAAGAGCATCTTTAGATTTTAATATCCTAATAACATGTATTTAATTTTAACAAAAAATCATATTCCCTTTATAATACCAACTTGTTGGTTGTGTCTTACATAGTGTCATCATTCATGTAACATTTGCGGTTTGATACATAGCTTTTTAAATTTTACTTGCTCGCTTGTTTCTCTAGACTACCTTATCTCGGGTTGATCCTTACCAATTTTTATTTCCGGTTGGGGTGATATGTTGATTTTTGGTAAGGTGCTGTATTGTAGTGGTAGTCCTTGATCTCAGAGGTTTACGGGTTCGATCCTTACCAATCACCGATCATTTCTGGTTGAGGTGTTTTTAGTGTAGTATTGTATTATAGCGTGAGTCCTTGATCTCAGAGGTTTACGGGTTCAATCCATACCAAACGTTTCATTTCTGGTTGGGATGATATGTTGATTTTTGGTATAGTGTTGTATTGTAGTGAGAGAAGCGTGAGTCCTTAATCTCAGAGGTATGCGGGTTCGATTAATGCCAAACGTTTCATTTCCGGTTGGGGTGATATATTGGTTTTTGGTAAGGTGTTGTATTATTAGTGGTGGTCCTTGATCTCAGTGGTTTACGGGTTCGATCCTTACCAATCACCGATCATTTCTGGTTGAGGTGTTTTTAGTATGGTATTGTATCATAGTGTGAATCCTTGATCTCAGAGGTTTACGGGTTCAATTCATACCAAACGTTTCATTTCTGGTTGGGGTGATATGTTAATTTTGGTATAGTTTTGTATTGTAATGGGAGTCCTTGATCTCAGAGGTTTATGGGTTCAATCCTTACCAAACGTTTCATTTCCGGTTGGGGTTTTTTTTTGTATGATGTTGTGTTGTAGTCTCTTGTTTGTGTATGCATGTTTGATCTCAGAGGTTTACGGGTTCGATCCTTACCAATCACCGATAATTTCCGGTTGGGGTGTTTTTAGTATGGTATTGTATCATAGTTTGAGTCCTTGTTCTTAGAGGTTTGCGGGTTCGATCCTTACTAGCTACCATTTGTATTATATCAAGTTGGAGTGATTTTTAGTGTTGTATAGTAGTGTTATGTTTGTATATGAGACTAGGGTTCAAATCTTCTAATTTCCGGTCATGTTAGTATTTTATGTTGTATAATATAAGGAGCTTAACGAGTAATGTAGATCTGTTACATCTGGTATAGTTCTTTAATGGTGGAAATGATGTATTCTTACACCAGTTACATATAATATAGCTTTATATTGGATAGGGTTTGAGACTATCCCCTCATTAAGTGAGGCCAAGTTAAACGTTATACAACCTATCCAGTTTATAATATTATATACCAGTTTATAATATTATATAATATTATATTGGTTGATGTCGTATAACGTCCTCTCCTTTATTTATAAAGCTTTTTTTTGTCAAGTCTATAGATTTAGTTATATAACCCTGCCAAGAAAGTTAACAATCAAGGTTTACAGGCTTTTTAGTCAGCCATGCCAGTGACCTTCACTCATGGTTTACGGGCTGTTTAGTTGGCCGCGCCAGTGACCAATAACATTCACACAAATACAAAGAGGGGCACAGGTTCTATCCAATCTGAACCCCTCAGTGTACACACATTCACACAAGTACAAGGCGTAGCACAGGTTCTTCTAAATCTGAACTACTCAATGTACACACACTCACACCTTGGTCAGGTTACATAAGTATATATCTATAGACTTGTTTTTTTTTACTAGGAGAGTTATGTACAGTGAAAATTACAATTACATTTACAAAGTTATTTACATTTACAATTTACAATACAATTTATGTGGCCCTTTGGATTTTCTGTAGCCAAAAGGTAGAGTGTCGTATTGACCTTCGTACCTTCTTTTAGGACCAGTTATTTGGAACACTTTGCTCTCAGTGATGGTGACGATGTCTCTGTCTCTAGTCCTTCTGATTCTACTTTCTTCAATTTCAACAGTCTGTTTTGCTTCACTCAAAACTATCTCTTTTAATTTTTCAAAATTTACAACTTTTGATGTTTTAAAGTTAAGGGTGAGGCCCTTGATTTTACATACGGGGATCAAGTTTTGTTGATTGGTTGACCAGACAAGGTATGCGTAAGTTTTAGGCCCCCCAGAGACAAACTCAGTAATATAAGAGCCAGGTCCATACTCTACTAATTCGTCAGTCATTTCACCGAGGTAATCTCCTGTAGACACCCTATAAAGACCGTTTCCAAGTATGTAAACAACACTGTCAGTATCATAATATAATACTTGAGCTCCTAGAGCCTCAAGGTGTTCATAGAGCTTGAGTCTCGCCTGCGAGGTAGTGTAGGCCGCGATACAAACGTTTATGTTACTAAGAGGTTCACCAACCTCCTCTAAATATTCCCATGACACAACCACAACCTCGTCATTAACAATCTGAAGTCTGTTTACTTTAATTTCTGGGCTAGAGAACATTTGAAATAGGGTTTTAGGATCCCTAACAATCGTAGCTTTAGTCTGATTCTCTCTCTGACCAAATTTTCCCCAAAAACTATTTAGCATTAATTTTGCCAAAGATCTCAAACCCCCATTCTTAACAATTTTATCTTTTTCCAACTTAATTCCCTCGTGTCCCAAATACTCTGCAATATACTTATTTTTATCTTCCTCGGTTTTGCACCATTCTGGATAGCCCGAAGCTTCCTGTTTCATCTTAAGAAATTTATTAATAAAATCGGTGAACAAACCCCCATTTTCATAAGTCGCTACCTGGTACTCCCACAACTCATACATGTCCAATACAATGTACCCTTTCTCTACTGCCTTTCTGATCTCATCCATAGTCCATGTCCCAACAAGTACCCTACTATCACTGTCATGATAACATTCTCCCTGATACATCATTTCCCCACATGTTCTACACAAAACAAACATCAATTTATCGTTCATTTTTGTAGGGAGTACAGGATGGTAGAGATCACGAGGTGGCAATACTTTACATTTTAACAAACCCTCTACACCCATACCTCTCTCACGACACTCCTTATCTCCTACATAGATGGTTGGATGGCCTATAGGGTACTTCCCATACTTACAAACATAAGGGTACAGAGAACAAACATCAACATACTGTATAGTTTCCTCCTCAGCGCATTTATGATAGGATTTCGCATTACCTGTCCTACCTCCAAAGAATGCCTGCCTCGGGTCAAGTGGGAGATTATTCAAGATAGGTAAACTATCCAGATGTTTAAGCTGCAGATCTTTTTTCTGTTTACGAAATTCGCATTCCCACATCTCTACTAGTGCGTGTTCTGTAAACTTTGTGTTTTTAGCCTTAGTTCGCTCATAGCGAAGATGTAGGCTATCAGAAGGGTCCTCTTTCAAAGGAGCGTGACGGTTGTAAGGAAAGCATTTAAGACACCCATGGAAATAACAGCCATGAAATTCATAGATGTTTCTGCCATCAAACCCGTCTACTTTCATTCCATTGACTTTAACTTCTTTACCTCGACCTGCGTGGTCAATCCTAATCCCGTTGGTTTCCTCGACCCAAGAAAGCCATTGGAGCGCTATATTTGATTGATTGTCTACTAATCGATAGCCGTTTTTAGGGATAAGTCCGATAGTATTGGGTTTCAAGAAATTACGGCGGAAAGCTAGATTGCAGGCACTTGCAATGGTAACAGCCTCGAGAAACGGGTCAACATTACACTCTTTTAGGAAAATTTGAGCGAAACTTTAGACAGGCTTGAGCCAAGATATCAACATCTGAAATACAGTAGGCTAGGATCTCATTTTTAAAGTTAAACACATATTTACTAGCGATCTGTTCGCTATACCATTTTTCAAAGTCATTGTGAGATTTCTCGAACATAGATTCGGGGCAGTAGTACTTTTTGTCTGGCATAGGGCCTACGTAGTCTTGGTTTGCCAGAGTGTTGAACAAATGGGGAAAATAGCCTTTCTTTTTCTCTGGAGGTAGGTCGAAGGCTTTAGGCAGAGCAGACAAAGCCATAGGGAAGTAGCTAAGTGAGTCAACAAACTTCACATTATCAATTTCCATCAGAATAATCTTAGTTCCCCGCATTACAAGTTCTGGTGTGAATTTTGTTTCTTCCAACAAGTACTTTAGCAAAAATTGAAAGTCAAACCCCTGCCCATTGTGTGCAATTACGCAGACGTTTTTAAACTGTTTCCTTACATACATTACATAATTCATAAACTGATTGATAGGGTCAGAGTCAAACACTCGTGTACGATTTTTACATGCTATACAGAATTTTCCCTCAATACACTGGTAACAAAATTGCTGACACACACACAAGTTTACTTTATGCAATTTACTTTCAGGGTCAGAGGGCAGGGGCTCATCCTGGCGGGTTTCCAAGTCAAAGAAAATAAAAGCATAATCTTTAGATTTAGGTTTACCCTCATTAGGTTTCATGTAGCATTTATGGTTAGGGTCTTTATATTCTCCACAAGGTTTACAGAATACTTCCCCACACTTGTGAGGCTTGGACCTCTCTTTAAGCAAAACTAGTTTCCCACAATCTAGGCATTTCTTCACATGTTTACACCTATCAGCTTCATGTGCGATAAAACAGCGTTGATTTTTATAAGTCAGATTGCATTTAGGACACAAGATTCCCCCATACTCCTCTACACAAGGAGGTGAGATGGTTTGACAACAGGGACAAATGTTTGAGCATCTGTGGGCTCCTTTGTGATCATACGTTACATGACAGGCATCACAAAAGTATTCACATGCAAAAGCTGCTGTCAGACTAGTAATTACATTGTAATGTCCATTATGAAACAACAAGTTGATTTTAAACTTGGGGTTCTCTACACTACCCTCAAAATACACATCACGACCTTTAGCATTGTAGTTGTACACAGTGATTTTGTAGTCTTTAAGCAGATGTTGGAATTTTTCAAGTTCGGTGATGCCTGCACCACCGTCAGGCATCACAACTCTAGCTCTACGTACAAGTTCTTGAGCCCTAACAGTCTGTCTTTTTCTATCATCTTGTCTAACAGCTTTGTATTCAGGATCTTTAGTAACATTAGCTATAGCCACTACAATAGCACGGGGAAGACACAAGTTATCTTTATTATTAATTACAACAACCCCTCTCCTAGCCTTACATTCTTCGTCAAATGTATTATACAATCCTGGTCTTTTGCGGCCACCCAAACCTACAGGGAGATTAACTCGGGTACATTCAACTTGAAACGTGTCTGTGGACTTAATTGATTCAGCATTTGATTGTACAATTCCCCCAAATATTTGCCACAAGACATCCTCATTTACTTCATTTGCAGGGCGAAAAGCAACAAACCCCGGCTCTTTACTTTTTAGGTTAAGTGAACGCAAAGTGAATCCCAATTGATCGCCCTCCTGACAAACTTCTTTCATATCATTAACAATTTGACCAAACCCTTGTCTTAGCCAATCAATCTCACTAGTTTCAGGTGGAGGGTTAGAAAACTTAAAAACAGTATTAATTCCATGAATGCGAAATCTCTTTACATAATTTTCATGTTTATCTAGAATATTTACAGGGACAATTACTTCAACAAAATCTTCTACAACATTTACAGGTTCATTACTATCAACAGATTCATTGGAATCTACTGGAGCAGAGTTACTTACATCCATCATCTTGAAGCACTGGGAGCAAAGTGATGCAATAATGGCAGGGTTGCGATAAGGGTTTATATAGGAACAAGGATGACCACAAATGTGGTTATCAAAGGTGACGTGGTACACAAGAGGAAGTGATAGCTGTTTTTTAGATGATGCAATACCACAAAAGTGGTTATCAAAGGTGGTTATCCGGTTGTGATATGGTACACAGGAAGTGATAGTTGCTATTTTAGATGATGCAATACCACACAGGATGTAGACACTATATTTAATATTATATACTATATAATTATTATATACTAATTATGTTTATTATTTGTTTCAGATGGCTGCCCCTCTCCTCCTCCTCTTCTAGCGCTAAGTATTTAGTTGTAGAAATATCAAAATATGTATATAATATAAATAGAAATAATATAAGTTTGTATATATATATATATAAATAAATTCATATTTAGCTTTCACAGTTGTTTTCATTATTCTTTCAACTAAATATCCAACAGGTTTTAAAATTACATAATCTAATAGGGGTAGCAGTCCACCAGCTAAAACAACCAGTAGAAAAATTGGCGGGAAAGCAGATAATACAATACATAAAGCTAGGTTATGTTACATACAAAATCACATAAGCGGCTAACAATAGTTGGCAGCACTAGTGCTGCAGCCTAGTAGAGAATTTATGAACTAATACCTCAACTCAGAGTAATAAATTAATAGATTTGTTTAGGTTAAAAGTGAGGTTATGTTACATATACAAAAAATCAAACCTTCAGAACTCATATACAAACAGTTAACTATACCAACAAAAAAACACCCCAACCAGAAATTATTGGTGATTGGTAAGAGTTGAACCCGTAAACCTCTAAGATTCACGCTACAATACAATGCTATACAAAAACAACCTAAAGTAACTCATTTAGCATAAATTAGATGTAAGTTTAACATAATATATTTGGTGACCTTTACAAAGGCCATTTTTATACTCAATGGTAAACTTAAGCCCTCTTTCAGCTATTTTTAACATATATTTATTTCACATTTATTATACACAATAGTATATATATATATATATATATTATAAAATATAACACCCAAAATTTACCAATTATGATCAACGGTAAGGTTTAAGCATTATACACTATATAAAGTGTTTTTTTTACAAATCCTACTAGGATAGGATTGAACCCATGAACCTCTCACTATAATACAATTAGTGGTTGGTTAAATTCGAACCCATGAACCTCCAATGATATATTAGTTAGCATTAAACCTCTAGCATAGGTTAGGATTGAACCCGTAAACCTCTAAACTAGGTCACATAAACAGCTGAAATAAACAGCTGTGCGTTAGGATTAAACCCATAAACCTCCCACTATAATACAATACCATTAGTGGTTGGTTAGATTCAAACCCATGAACCTCTAAACTAGATGATCAGCTGAAATAAACAGTTGTGGTTGGTTAAAATTGAACCCGATAACCTCACACTACCCTTTAATAGGTTAGAATTGAACCCTTAGACCTCCAACCAAGACAGGATTGAACCCGTGAACCTCTAGAATAGGCTAGGATTAAACCCATAGACCTCTAAATGATAGGTTAGGATTGAACCCATGAACCTCTAGCATAGATTAAGATTAAATAACCAGAAATGATATATTTTATATTAGGTTAGATTTGAACCCGTGAACTATGTTAAAATCAAACCTCCAATACACACCCTGCATATAGGTACAAGGTGTCAATTTACCACCCAATATATAAGTTAAGGTGTCATTTACCACTATAAACTCTATACCCATAACTGCTGTTGTAGCTCAACCAGCTAACGCGTACAACTATTATTCAAAAGACCCGAGTTCGGTCCTCGGTCAGGCCAACACTTTTTATCCATAATTTAATATTTAATTTAATAATTTATTTAATACAAACACCTACTGACGTCACGTGATCAGCTGATCATGCGCATTCGAGATAAACAGCTGAGAGTACCCTATCTACACCTAGATCATCTCAAGGTCAATTTCTGCCCATTCCCCGCGACGTCTACTGTTTTTAGATTTTACTCTAAAAAATAAAACATTTTTGTTCTTGAGATTTTTTCAATATCTCTAATAGTTAAGGAGCTACGAGGACAAATTGTTAAGTATTGTTTTGTCAAATTATGACTCAGAATTATTTTAGTTTCATACAGTATTTGGGTTGGCAACATTGTTTACAAGTCTAATTGTTGCATTTTGTCACTACCCAG